CGTTCATTTTCTCGTTCTTCTTGTTTCTTTTGTCTGCTCTTGTATTGCTGCCATCAAGTCTGCTAGGCTTTAGTTTGATTTTTCGCCTCTCGTTTCCATTTTTTTTCCGTTCCACTTCTGACACCAATTTGTTACGTCTCCGTTTGTTAATTAACTTTCCATAACTTCGTTCCGACGAAAGTTTAGCGACACAAGTCCATACTTAATAAAACTGGTTTATTCTTTCTGAATATAACTTTACCGATACACTTGATTTTAACATTCACGCTAAAACAAACGCTATAACGAACGTTAACTTCAACAATACTTTCTCACTGCAGATCAATTACTCACTACCTACACACACTCTATGTCGCGTCACGCCGTCACCCTCTTATATATATATACCAGACTACCCTATATCTAGTAAATGCTAGGGCATTCACGAAGGAACAAGATAGTTCTAGAAACGTGGCATGACACTAGTCACGTGATCTCGCTGACGCAACAATATTATCATTTAAGACACTCAGCATTCTCTGGTTAACAAATAAATTACAAAAGAAAAATATAGCTTACATCACTTCCACCTTCCTGCATTGTGAAATATCTTGAACAATCCTAATATCAATGAAATAAAATACTACATTAAACTGTCCATTCACCTAGTTTTTTTGGTGGATTTCACTTCTACGGCCCATTGTATACACACGTGATGGCATATTGTCCCTTGTTATCACTGGCCATCCTGTTGCTGGGAAAGTTCTTAGGTAGGTTGTTGGGTGAATCTATTGGGGGGGGGGGTTCCATCTTGATAACACTCTCGACAGGAAATACGGGCTTCTCAGTAGGTTTAGTTTCCACTAGCAAGTTCTTCTCTAGAGTTCCCTAGTTGGTGCTCTCTCAACAACATACTGTTACGTCTCTGTGTTCGCTTGTTAATTTTTTTGTAGAAATTCTTTCTGAGAAACTTCAGCAATACAAGTCTTTTCTTAAATAAAACTAGTTTATTCTTTCTCAATTCAACTTTCCAATACACTTAATTTCCACAAATACTTTAACTTAAACATACGCTATAATTCACAACGAACGTTTCACGCACTTTACTTACTACCGCGCTTGACTCAATTGTCCGTCTCTATGTGCCTGCCATTATCTATATCTATGCCGTCACTTCTCGCCGGTTTTATATATACGAAATAGAGGGCATCTGGAGAACACTCGAGCCTTCACGAACGTACGTGAATTCTGCTGTCGTAACAATACTCCCAAAAGGCTTGGATGGCTTTTTCCTTTTAATTTGTAAACCATGTCATTAATTGTTTTCAGCACAGCATATTACCCCTCCAAGCAACTGCATAACTTTGGAGTCCATTATTTCTTGTAGTGGAGACTGTACAGCCATACACGTCACCTAGATAAAATCCAGTTTTATCAGCATTAACATCATAGCGACTTTTCATCTTGTCACTAGATAATTTAACTCTTTAGCGTGGAAGGTAATGTATGTCACTGATGAGTTTCCTTACTTTCCCTACATATCATATATAAGATTTTTCTGGGTGACTACTCCAGGCGAGAGTACAGAAAGTTTAATATCACTTTCATTTCTCTTCCAAACATCAGTGATGATGATGTGTTGCCGATAGCTTCCTGTACTGCAGCCAATAACTCATCAGGCACAGTATAAGATCTTGCTCACACATTTTCTTATGTTCACCCAAATATATGGTTCCTTAATTGATATAATATGTATGGTTGTATTTCTCCCAATGTCATCAGAAGATGAATGAAGGGCTTTTGTCCTGATCTTTTTTAACTTCAAGGATATGACATGTTCTTGCAAGTGAGTTTAATTCAAAGTTCCATCCCTGATCCAAGTGGAGTTGCATGGGCAGACCAAATCCATAAAAAAATTCGTTGACTAGCTTTATGCAAGTATTTCTGCTTCCTGGTTAGAAAAAGCATGTACTTTTGGTCATTTATTGGAATAGTTAATTACAACCATGTTGTATCTATTCCCACTGTTACTCTGTGGAAGAGGGCCAAGTACATCAACAGGAACTCTCTCCAGTAGTGTCCAACACAATAGTGTTATTTCTTTTATGGACGTTTCCACTCACAGCAGAGTTCATATGTTTTCCACAGATTTATGGTAACCAACCCAGTGAAAGCATTCTCTTACTCACTCCAATATATTCCTGACACCCAAGCATCAAGCCATTGGAAGGTGTGGAGATGCCATATTACTTCAGATCATACAGACTGGGGAAGTGCCAACCGTAGTCATTGTTTCTGTTCACTGGCATCTTCCCATTTCCAACATAATAAGCTTTCTTGTAAACAAGAGGAAACCCACTGTGCCTAGTATATATTTATTTAAGATGTATGGAGGTGAGTGTTTGCCATGAGAATTTTTCAGCACTATTCTTGAGCCACTGAATTTCCTTCAAACCATATATTTTGCCTGAGCAGCTTCCAAATGGATATTGAATCATATAAGTTCTTCATTTTCATTGGTGGATGCAATACCTTGGACTCCACATTGTGTATACAATAGGTTGGCTATATTTTCTATCATGGGCTTCTCTCTTCTCACATTGTTAATGCTTTTCATTAACATATGGTCTTTGGGATGATTCATCAGCATTTCATTGGATCCATCAAGAGCAATGTACGATATTAAAGTTGTACTCCTGAAGTCTTTAGAGCCACCTTGTTATTTGGCCTACTGGATTACGAAAATTCACCGGCTACTTGAGTACTCCATGATATGTTTGGAGCATAAACATTTGTCCATATAGATAATTATGGAAATGGCTCAGTGCTCAGATAACACTTAGTAGCTCTTTTCGAGTTAAACAATAGCTCCGTTGTGTAGCATTCATTGTCTTGCTGTAGTAGGCAATCACATGTTCTTTTGCATGTTGTACTTATGATAAAACTACTTCCATTGCAAATTCATTGGTAACTGTATTTAAAATGATTAGATTTTCCAGAGTTCAATATGCCATTACTGAAGTAATGGTCAATAATGGCTGGAGACGGCTTGAATGGGTAATGAAGAAAAACTTTAATATAACAGCAAATGTACAACGTTTCGACACGGTTTTGTCATCATTAGGTACCTGATGATGACAAAACCG